TTAGTTTAGCTCGTTTGGCTTTCAATGTTGATGCTTTTGAAAATGGTGGGGACTGGGAAAGGAGGGAGTTAGCAGGTAAAGCTAGACCAAAGGAGGCATGGAATACAGTCTGTGTAATAAGGCCTACAGAAAAGGCAGAGGCTGTTCTAGGACAGTGTCAATTTGGTGTGGTTCAGTAATCTGCCTGGAAAATAATGAGCTTTAGAACTTGTAATTTATGACTAAACTTGTTCATTCAACACTTTCAATGAGCTAATGTCATAATGTGCATTAGGTACATAGTCAGTGAAATCTGATTCATTCTTTTAACTAGGACTGCAAAAGAATAAGGAATTAAATTTGGCAGAACTTATTCAAGGCAGCTGCTAAGGTGCGGATCCTTCCAGATTGCTCTGGGACATCCAGCATGTGTGACAGGAGGTCAGCTTGGCTGTCAGGGAACTCCTCTCTGAGCTCAGATACAAAAGAAGAGGAGCATGAAAAGTGGAATTGGGGGTGGATACTCCAGAAGAGTATGGGCACTTTCCCAGGGTATACAGGGATGGAACTTAAAAGCTAAAGCTTGACTGGAGTTATACTGGGGAAAAAAAACATGAGATACCACCAGGGTTTTTGTGTAGTTATATTGGAAAGAAAGGATAGAGCAAGGAAAATGTGTGAGATAAAGGATAGTGGAAGAGTTAAGTTCCAAAGTAACTAATTTTGACAGTACTCACTTAAGAAACTAGTTAGAACAGATCTTTTAATGGCTTGACTTGCTCCATTAGAGAAAGTGGATGATAGTTGCATTCAGAGGACACTATAATGAATCCTACTATTAATTATTTTAAAAAGCAGATAAAATTTTGGAAAGTATTTAGAACTGAGGTTCAAGTTTTTGTTTTCCTGTCCTTCAGTGGAAAGTTGATAGCCAGCTTTCAACTGAAGCTGATACTTAAAGTCCTTCTAATTGAATGTTCTGCTGTTATCCCTGTATGTGACTTTTCCAATTAGGACGTAAGATCAATGTATTATAAAAATCTTTCATGCTGTCTTGTTCAGCAATTGGAGATTCACAGAGAGACTTTTCTTTACCTGTAATCAGATTTTAATAGAGGAGATTAAAGCAGATACCTGCTAACTGCTGGTTCTGATATTTCATGTGACGAACTGTTTTTTAATGTTATTGCGTAACTGGTGTTCTAGGTGTTTGATCTGCAAAGAAAAACATTACTGATGTGATTTATGCCAGACTTAGCTTTAAATGTATGAATAAGTAAACTCAGTGTGTTCTGGAAGACCATTAAAGAAGTGATCATGTCTTTCCTTTTGCAAGGGCAATTTTTTTACTAAGGCTTTGCATAAATATTTGCACAATTGTTAGTGAATTTGTAGGTCCACTCTATAAAGTGAAAACAAATAATCATCTTTCAGGAGAAGTGTGGCCTTTAACTGAAGATATATTTTACTTTGAGGTTGATATGATTCTTTGATTCTGTCTTAATTATGTCTCCTTCAAAGTACTCTCATAACTGTTAACCATGTGATTGCCCTGTTAGACTTCAGAAGATGGCTAAAGTCCCATAAAACTTCCTGGGAGAATCGTTCTGTCACTTTTTGTCTAATATACATGAGATTTTATTCCTGTGGGCTCAAAGGAAAAATCGTGCTTTTCTTTGGCAATTCATGTGGGTTCTGACCATATGCCTGTGCAGAGTATGGCCTTTTTTTAAGGAAAACCTTTAGCAGCTATTTAATACAGTCTTAGTTTCAGCCAACCAAAATATTGGTTACTTTGCTGTCTGAGAGACCAGTATTGAGAATCGTCACCTGATAAGTTTGCTGACACCCAAGTTCATAACATTCAGTGTCATGTCTTTGGCCAATATTACTCAAAAACGCAGTAGTTTTGGAAAGCTTTATGTAGGAATAACTCTTTTCTTTGAATCGTTACTTCTTGTGCTGTTTCCTGCCTCAGCCTGCTACAGGGCTTGAGAGACCACTTTGTCTCATTCTGTTGACATAATTAGCCGCACCGTCACCAGAACTGCCTTATTTATTTATGAGGGGGCTCAAATCTTCACCTTATGCTTAGATTTTCTTTCGTCATATGGAGATGTGAATCAGCATTTGGAGCTTGTTGTTATAGCTACAATACACAATTTCTTTACTAATGAGAATCTTTGAATTTCTCTAGTGCCTAGTCAATCACTTTATAGATCTCGTCATATAGAGGGCATGCATTTCCTATACAAAAATGTGGTCTGTCATGGCTGGCCAGTCTGTCAAAAGTGAGAACCCAGCTGCCCACAAAGTTGACATCTCTCCCTGGCTTAGCTGAGCAGAATGCTTCAAACGGAGGAGCAAGAAACCCAGCTTGGAGTGCTCATCCAGTGAAGACAAAAATCAACACCCGCAGGATTGTACATCCTGAGTTCAAAGGAGAACAACAGCTTGTTTAGATAATCTTTCACAACCTTATCTAGGATGTTAGATGTGTTTTGTGCCACTGTCTAGCCAAGTAAAAGGTTTGTTGTTGCAGCTGTGGTAACTTCTGCCTTTGGCACCAGCATACTACCAATTTGGATCATAAGGGTTCAAGCAGTTTTCCGACGTTCTCATTTTATAGGTGATTTTATATGAAACTTGTATCTTGGAGGCTTATTTAAGCATATAAATGGCAGCTGGTGTAGATAAAGATTGAAACTTTCCGTAGAATTTCAATTAAAGGTATAAAGGGACTCCTCTATAAACAAACTTTCATCATCTTTAAGGAAAACTTAGAAAACTTAGTGTTCAGATGTTGTTTCTTCCTTCCAAAAGTTCATTATCCAGCAGGTATTCTGCAACCAGCTTAGGAGAGAACAGAGGGAGCTGTGGTATGTTCTTTAAAAGAAAAAAAAAAAAATCCTATAATGTAAGCCAATGAGCCAAATAATACTCATAAGCTCAAGGAAGGGGGATCTTTGCTGTCCTAATCTTAAGACATGATGATTCTAAATTTCTTTTTGAATGTGAACTTTGTAGCTTTACTGTGTGCTGTCCCAGGAGCTATCCTGATTGTCCTCCTGCGTTGCCCCGTTACTTACCATGTCTTAGCATGCGTCAGACATTACCAGAGTTTTTAGAGCCTGTTTTGGGGTAGTGATTGCGTGACTTTTACATGGTTGGCTTCCTAAACTTACGCATCCCAATCCTTAATGTGTCCACAAACATCATGTTGTTTAAATACCAGCTGTTTTAAAATTGATGGAAAGTGGCAAGGATGTCAATAAGAATATGGGTAGAGCTTAACTTTCTAGGTAAGCTAATGATTATATTCTGTTTCCTTATATGCTTTTCAGACCAGTGTGGCTGTTTATGTGTTGTAAGTGTACTGTGATCTGGATGATTACTTTTTTTTTTAATTGGAGCACAGTTGTTAACATATACCCACCAATGTTTTGTACTGAAATTGAGCGAAAGATGAGAAGTTACATCACAAGACTATCTGCAATGCTTTAACTGGTAAAAAAAGATTTAGACCTTCAGTTAGTCACGTTGGAATTTTATGTTATAAACTGTTGTACAGTGTCAATAGCCCACATAGCTAAAGATGTGTTGGACTTTGTTTAGAAGTACAATTTGTTGCTGTTCTGAGAAGCATAGATAAAAGTAAAACCATCTTTTTCCTGATGTCCCACATACTTCAGAAGCCATAGCCATATTTCAGGGTCAGTATCAACAGTTGCACAGTTTTTTTCATTGTGCTACTTCATGATACTTTGAAGGCAGAACCTTGAATAGTGTGAGAATCAAGTCCTGACCTCTGAGACCACAGAATGTATAGTTAGACACCTGAAGTTAAACACTGCTGTGTTGCTTTGACTTTCAGAAGGGAATATTATGAGAGGAATTGAACATCCTATTGATAGGAGAGGAGAGTTCTGAGGCCATCTTGTTATTTAGCTGGTAATATAAAACTATGATAATATAGAACATCAAATGCAAAAAAGATTTCCTTCTGACGATCTTCTCTTCCATTCTTAGAAGGAAGGTAATGTCTGGACGATATATGTCAAGCCCTCTATTCTGTGAACTTTCTAGAGATTTGGAGCAGGAATTAGGGAGCTGCAGGGGCTCTGTATAGAATTATGAATTAGTGTTGCAGCTGAAATTCTTTTGATTGTTTTTCTGTGGAAATGCAGGGCTTGAGGTACGATGCTAAATTTATCCACTCCCTAAAATACTAATGTTACTTGCACATATGAACAAGAAGACACTTACCACATGGTGTGTCAGTATTTGGTTTCGAGTAACTTCTCGTCATTACTGAAGTGCAGCAAATCAGTTTATCCTTAGTTGCACAATCCAAGGTGAAGAAACAAAGCTGATTAGGCACTCACTAAATTAAATTTTGTTTACGCCTTAAGAGATGTCTCAATCCACTAGTACAAACAGCATTAGAATACAACTTCCTGTGTCCTGATTTGGTTGACTGTCTTCAGACTTTTTTTTGTCATACAAAATCGGCAGGTGCTATTTATAAAACAGAATGGACAGTTTCATAGTTGTGTTTTAAATTATGGATGGCCTGTACTTACTTGCTAGTAGTTGTGATGCTGACTTATTTCTATGCATCTGGTTTCTCAGTGTATAAATCTTCAGAAACAGGTAAAGTAACTTGGCCAGATAACTAGGATCCCAGCTAGGGGGAAGGAGAAGCAAAATGAGCCAATGGGAGCATTTTTTTACAAGCTCTAATGATTTTTTAATTATTTTTTTTATTTCATCGTATGAGTTACCTAATGCACTTGGGTACACTTGGAATGCAGTGTGGAAGGAGGGACCACAGTCTTAGTCTTAAATGCATAGATGAGGAAAAGGAAATCAAGCAAATTAATTTTTGTTTTTCTGGAGCAGTGACTTAAGTATTTGGATGGAACATTCTTCAGCATAGTTGAAGGTGTTGGATTTTTTTCAAGCTCCTCTTGCTGTGTTAGCTCTAAAATTTTGTTTAATAGATTATGTTTACATTGAAGGGTGAAGATGTCAACCGGACGCTTGAAGGTGGGAGGAAGCCTCTTCACTACGCAGCAGACTGTGGACAGCTTGAGATTCTGGAATTTCTGCTATTGAAAGGAGCTGATATTAATGTATGTACATCAGTGTGCAAACAGATGTTAGGGTCTTCCCCCCTACACACATAAGGGATTGTTATAAACAATTTAATGCATTGAAAAATATTAGCGAGTTGATCTCCTAGAAGTGTGTACCTATAAAAAGTTTAAATTTAATTTGACCATGATTAGAAAAGTAAATCCAGTAATCACATCTGAATAAAGTTTGCATGAAATACATATGACATTTATTGAAAGAGACTTCGGGAGACCGTGCAATGCATCCTTTGCCAGAGCAGAATCAACTCTGTTTAAATTGATATGCTCCTCTCTATTTTTTGGAGACATTCTTACTTGTACAAACTTAGTCATTTTGTTGTAGCTTGACATGCATGGCTTTTTGTCATGAAAAGACTTGGCTGGGCAGTATTGGCACTTCAAAATAGTGTAGTTCTCCGTGAAGTTTCTAAATACGTTAACCACACACCCTAAAGGCTGTGCTTTAGAATACTTGTCTGAAAGTTAATGTGTAAGGCATCCTAGCTTTGGTCCTTAACAAAATAGCATGGATTTTTTCCTTAGTGTCTGGAAAGATTTTCTCTTCCTTATTTCTCCTAACTGGAGAGAAGAAAAAAAAAAAAAAACAAAAACATTTCAGTTGCTCCATTTCTTCAATTATTTCCAAGACTATAGTTTAGAGAGGAGAAGACAGCCCAAACAATGTTTCAGGCAAAACTGATTTCTGAAGTCAGACTGGCTGAGAAATGGGAGAATTAGGAGTTGTGTTTTTAAACTGGGCAAAATTTGTTAACTGAAACCCCACAATTTCTATCATTGATCTAAAAAAATACACAAACTTTGAGATACTTAGAAATCTTATGGAAGAAATACCTTGCTGTTACCTGACTGTTTTTTTTTTTAAACAATGACTTTCCTTTTTAAAAAGGAGAGTAAAAAAATCTGAGGGAATGCATTTCTGGATAATATTCTTAAATCCTTACTTTCACTCTACTGTTGACAAAACAAAATTAAAAACATAAGTGAAACCTTCTAATGCTGTGTGAAACTGTGCTTCAGAAAACTGTGTCTCAATTTACAGGCTCCAGATAAACATAACATCACACCGCTCCTATCGGCAGTCTATGAGGGCCATGTTTCCTGTGTGAAACTGCTTCTGTCAAAGGTGAGATTCAAATATTTAGAAAAAGTTATGCGTTAGTAAAGTATATTATTCTGATTTTTTTTTTCCGGTAAGATTATGATGCTCCAAATAAGTTCAGAACATCAAATAAGTGCTGTTTTGAAGTGTTTTGCATTCTAAATAAGTTGCTCAAATAATAAACAAGATGCCTCAAAACTTGAGTTCACACATGAATTGTCTGGCAGCTAGTAAGAGTTGTGCATTTAATGTAGTCTCTGTCAGCGAGGGCATTAAGGTCCTTCCTGAACCAGCTGTTTTTCACACAGCTGGTGAGAAAGTATTGATCCCTATACTTGGCACAATTTGAATGGCATTGGTTAAGTTCAACAGCCATAAAGATGAGGCAATCTCACAAGAATGCGCAGAATGTTATAAGAAAGTGAATTTGGACTAGGAGATGAGGTTAGAAAAATGTTACTGCAGCTGGATAGTTTAGGAAAGCTTGTATTTTCAAATTTCTTCATGCAGAGTGAAATACTGTACCATAGCTGCTTGCTTCCATTCACATGGGCTAACTGATGAAATATTTATGAACTGGAACTTTGCTCATCAGCTTGTTCTGAGGCAGATCTTATATTGAGGTTGTTCTTTCTCTTAGTACACTTATCTTACGGCCCTTGTCTGAACATCTTTTGTCACACTGTGTAACATAGTTTAATTTCATGTGTTCTTTCATAGCAGGTACCTGAGAGATCAGGTAGTTCAACTCTTATTGAAAGTTATAAAAATTACTGGCTCTTTAATTTTGACTGTTTAATGTTTTTTCTCGTTACTTTTGGAGTGAGGTGTATTTTCTTGTTACTCCCAATGCAGGACAAATATTGAACATCCGATGTTAGTGTATGTAAATAGCGGAATGACAAATGCAAATGATGGACCAATATAGTTAAGATTTTTCTTCAAAGCTGTTCTGTTTTGCTTTTGTAAATACTACACTTCTTACTGCTAAGAAGCTTCATTATTTTATACATACTTACTTTCAACTGCCTTCGTTTACCTCATTAGTTGACCTCCTCCATATGTGACATCTATCATAGAATATCCCTTGAGCTATTGGACTAGAAGTCAGTAACCTCCTTACGTATTCTTAAACAGGAAAAAAAAGAATATTTTTTTGTACTTATGCAGGTTTTGAGAACCAATGAACACAGTGATGCGTATCTCCTTAGTCTGTTCGCATACCACAAATATAAAAAAGTTAGCAGTTTGATCAAGTTAAAATTATGTAAGGAATAAGAGATTGTCCCTCTTCGCCTGCTAAGATTATATTTAATACAAATAATTCTATGTTGGATACAGTTGTTGATTTGGAAATTGAATTTTTTTTTAGCTAACATTCTGTACTGCCTCCTACAGTATATGAATTGTGGGGATGTTCATAAACCTGTATGAGACTCTAGAGCCATTAAGAGGAGGAGAGGCATTCCAAGAAACGTTTCAGACATTAATTGAACATAGATTGGAAAAAATATACCTTAATAAAAGTACCGAATATGAAAAAGGTTAGCTTAGTCAAAGTAACCTCTAGGATTTTTGTAAACTTTCTGTTACTGTAGAAGATTCATTCATCTGATGGCAGTAAGCTCATTAGTCTTTCATGTAGTGTGACTTCAGAGCATTCTTTAAACATTCTTCCACTGAAATCAGTAAAAGCATTAAAAGTATTAGGGCATAATTCACTTTCATAGGATAATAAATACATATAAATAGTAGAGACACTGAATCAAGTTTCTAAGCTCTTAAACTGACTAGAATGATTAGAGTGGCCACTTGATTTTTAAGCCGAAGTAGCCTGGGCTGCTGCAAACCTGTGCTTTCTCTTGATATTGGTCATCATGCAGTTGCACAGTGAAACACAGCCAAGCTGCTTCTAAGCTCGTATTAGAAACAGTTTACACTCGTGAAAGCTTAACTTGAAAAGTACTGGAGGACCTACGCTGGCTTTTATCAGTTCAGTCTCTACAAAATTTTGTAATGTACATGTTGCATGAGTAATAGAATGTACTGTACATGATACTAATAGCTGAAGCCACTACACCAACTCTTGTCCCTTAAAAAGCAGCAATTTGTTTTATGGAATTTTAACTAACTTTCAACAAGGCTTTCCTATGATAAACCACAGTTTGTTGCTCATGTTATTCCTCAGAAATAACGATTTTGGGGTTCTTAGGTAATGCTTATAACACATGGAAGTTGAATGCGGTGATGACACTGTGTCTAAAATACAAATGACTTTTTGGAATAGCTAAGGCTGATGCTTTGTCTGGAAAACACTGGCAGCCTGTGTACAGCTGAACTGATAGAATCATAGAATCATTTAGGTTGGAAAAGATTTTCAAGTTCATCAAGTCCAGCTGTTAACACTGCCAAGTCCACCACTAAATTGTGTCCCTAAGCACCACATCTACACATCTTTTAAATACCTTCAGGGATGATCACTCAACTACTTCCTCAGGCAGCCTGTTCTGGTGCTTGACAACCCTTTCAATGAAGAAATTTTTCCTAATATCCAATCTAAACCTCCCCTGACACAACTTGAGGCCATTTCCTCTTGTCCTATTGCTTGTTACTTGGGAAAAGAGACCAGCACCCACCTTGCTACAACCTCCTTTCAGGTAGTTGTGGAGAGTGACAAGGTCTCCCCTCAGCCTCCTTTTCTCCAGACTAAATCTCAGTTCTCCACGCTGCTGCTCAGAAGACTTGTTCTATAGACCTTTCACCAGCTTCCTTGCTCTTCTTTGGACACGCTCCAGCACCTGCGATGGCTTTACACAGATCTGCATTTGAAATGTGCTGGAATATTTAAAGTCATGAAAAGAAAGAATTGAGGATTAGGATTTTTGTAGGCATATACTTATGACATCTGTGATATAAAGCTTTTAATAATCCATTGAAATCTGGCTGATATACTCGATGTGATGTGTCAAACTTTGTCCTTCGTATATATTGCTCTTTTACTGATAAGTTGTGGGAAAATTTCCAAGGTTAGCATAGGGTGCTAAGATGACATGAAATAGTTCTAATTCTGTTCCCTATCACAGTTTTCAGCAGAAGAGTTCAGAATGGACACTGTAAAGACAAGTTAAAAACAGTTCTTTCAGTGATCTAGAGATAAGACGCTTCTTTCCTCCTCAGAAGCGCAATTATTAATTATAAAGCGGATGGACCCATTTGGATTTAGCTTCTATTAAAGCGAGACTTGTTATGCTAATTATATGCAATTATTGGGCA